AGCTAGGGAAATAGGTTAATCTAAGTGGATATTATTCAGAGCTAAAGAAACAGGTTAATCTAAGTGGATGTTATTAAGAGCTAGGGAAATAGGTTAATCTAAGTGGATATTATTCAGAGCTAGGGAAATAGGTTAATCTAAGTGGATGTTATTAAGAGCTAGGGAAATAGGTTAATCTAAGTGGATATTATTCAGAGCTAAAGAAACAGGTTAATCTAAGTGGATGTTATTAAGAGCTAGGGAAATAGGTTAATCTAAATGGATGTTATTCAGAGCTAGGGAAATAGGTTAATCTAAGTGGATGTTATTAAGAGCTAGGGAAATAGGTCAACCTAAGTGGATGGTATTCACAGTTAGAGAAATCTAAGTGGATATTATTAAGAGCTAGGGAAATCTAAGTGGGTGTTATTAAGAGCTAGGGAAATAGGTCAACCTCAGTGGATGTTATTCAGAACTAAAGAAATAGGTCAACCTAAGTGAATGTTATTCAGAGCTAAAGAAATAGGTTAATCTAAGTGGATGTTATTAAGAGCTAGGGAAACAGATTAAACTAAATGGATGTTATTCAGAGCTAGGGAAATAGATTCGTAAACCGTGTTATATACAGGGAAATAACTTGATCACAAACATACACATCTCACTAACAAAAAATTTGAGGTCATGCAAAAGATTGGCTCTGTTATAAGCCAGAAAGCACTAAAACCAAAGTCACGCATTTAACTTTCACTTCATTACAGACATCACTTGAGCAGAATACTGTAGCCAATCTTTTCAGCCTGAATCCACGAGCGCCCCTAGAGGGAAAACAGTTCCATAAATTACAATAAGTAATTGTGACAAGAAGATTTCTCCCTTAATGATATTATTGGGGCGGATCTGTAGCCGTTAAATGAAGAACGCCCGCTGTACCGGAGGTCTCTCAGTATTGTCCTTTTACATTCTTGAAACAAGGTTAAGCAACTGCTGTATTCCTGGCTGACTACTCTTCTTTCACCCCTACCCTTTCCAACGGTTTCTTCGTCAGACTCGTTACTAAGCAACATTTTCACCTCCGGAGAATTCTGGGACGAGTGAAGAAGAGACGTCGCAGCGGGCCTCACTGATGATATGAGGTCGGGTTCATCGTCATCGTCTCCAGTGAAAGATGCGTTTAAGTCTTCAAAACTGTTCAGAATTTCTTCGGATGTGACCTGGCTACGTCCGGAAATCAACGATCCTTCTTTTTCAATGAGCCAGTAAGTACGCATTTCGCCTTTGCCCTGTACACAGAACAAAAATACATTGTAATTGTCAGCAAACATACGATTTGTTTGTAGTACACAGTTGTTATGTTTGTTATATCAAACTTTAGCGATTTTTATTGAATAACTTTGCACACGTAGATTATATTTACACCAAAGTTGACATCTAATTGTAGGTTGTAAAGATCAATCAGTGTACTAAATTTGAAAATATACATAAAAGTTAACTATATTTTTTTATCAAATAAAGTTTCCGTCCTTTCAGTGCTCAGAAAAAAAGGGAAAAATTTCAATCAAAACTGGAGATTTTATATCTCGCGCATTTCTAAATGGATTGCCTTTAAATTTGATATGTTAAGTAAGGGTCCAGTAGAGCTAATCCACTGAAAATATGTGATAGTTTGGATTACCAAAATAAATTTGAGCTACAGAAAATGGAAAATCGCTAAACTAGCACGCCTGTTAATAATAAACAGTGTATCCTGCAGGTTGTTTTGACCGCACGACAATCTACCGTGTATATTAATATTTATCACACGTTAGGTTCAATAAATGTAAAAATTATAACAACTACACACACTTGTGGAACTTTTCAACAACACACACCTGTCGAACTTTTCAACAACACACACCTGTCGAACTTTTCAACTACACACACCTGTCGAACTTTTCAACAACACACACCTATCGAACTTTTCAACAACACTCACCTGTGAATTTTTCAACTACACACACCTATCGAACTTTTCAACAACACACACCTGTTGAATTTTTCAACTACACACACTTGTCGAACTTTTCAACTACACACACTTGTCGAACTTTTCAACAACACACACCTGTCGAACTTTTCAACAACACACACCTGTCAAACTTTTCAACAACACTCACCTGATTCATATGTATAAAAATAAATTCACACTGCCGTAAGAAAAAACATAAAAAACGTTAAATATTCAAGAATTTCTGTCGAAGCAATAAGTTATGAAAAAGAATTCAATATTATTGAGCGTTTGAATATAATCTATAAAATTTAATTTTTATGGATATGTTTCTGTATTTTTATCCGGTTTTTTTTTTAAGATTTTTAAAGTTCACTAAAAAAATAATATGTATGATTCACTTATACCAACATAATAACTTCAGGAGTTTAAGAAACACAAATCCAAACATGTTATGTTTCTTTTTACGTGTGGTATATTTATCGGTAGTTAAAGAAGTTTGACAAGATTCTAATTTACATGAATAATAAATTAATGGCACCCACACATCTCTAATAGTGACACAAGAGAGATAACTGAGTTGAATTATTTGAAAATAATAATAATGTCCAAACACACAATTCCTTGTAAACCTCCTTCTTACTTTTACTGTCGTTAGGCCTCGTTCTTCACAGGAGTAGCCTCCTATCTTATCAAGTATTTTCTTGGTTTCTCCGCTAACGTGAATTCTCAATGCTAACCAATGAAAGAAAAAATCAAAATTTAAATTTCGTCGAAGTATTTATATAACAAGATAAATATCATGACAATGTATAATCACATAAGAAAGATATATTAGTAACTAGTTGCTTCTCCCCGTTGGTAAGTTTACGGACTTACAACGCCAAAATCAAGAGCTCAGTTCTAGGTGGTGGACATTGTACAGATAGCCTATAGTGTAGATTTGAGATAAAACAAACACGAGTAACTTGTTGAGCACTAGCTAATAGAAACCATCCCGATGAGCCTGTATTTTCGGTTTCAGTCGATTCATACATGAAAGTGTTGTGACAACAATTGGTTGTCATTATTTTCTGGACAAAGATAGCTACTTAAGTAGGCCAAAACTACACCTTAAACCAGTAATTAATGTATCTAATCCAGAGCTACCTAAATAAATCAAAACTATAAGTTAAACCAGTAATTAATATATCTAATCCAGGATTAGATACATTAATTACTGGTTTAAGGTGTAGTTTGGACTTATTTAGGTAGCTCTTATTTAGGTAGCTCTAGATATATTAATTACTGGTTTAAGTTGTAGTTTTAGCAATCCAGAGCTACCTAAATAAGTCCAAACTACAAGTTAAACCAGTAGCTAATTTATCTAATCCAGAGCTACCTAAATAAGTCCAAACTACAAGTTAAACCAGTAATTAATATATCTAATCCAGAGCTACCTAACTAAGCCAAAACTACACATTAAACCAGTAATTAATGTATCTAATCCAGAGCTACCTATATAAGCTAAAACTACAATTTAAATCAGTAATTAATATATCTAAGCCCAGAGCTACCTAAATAAATCAAAACTACAAGTTAAACTAGTAATTAATATATCTAATCCAGAGCTACCTAAGTAAGTCAAACTACAACCCCCCCCCCCCCCAGTGGCACAGCGGAATGTCTGCGGACTAACAACGCCAGAAACCGGGTTTCGATACCAGTTATGGACACAGCACAGATAGCTCGTTGTATAGCTTAGTGCTTAATTACAACCAAACAAATAAACGTGTCTTTTTTTTATCATCGTTATAGAAACTGATTTGAAGCATTTTCATCTCGAATTTTATTTTATTTTATTTTTGTATAATATAAAAGATATTTTCAGACTTTATTCTTTTTGAAACATAACTGTTGAATACATAGTTTAATATTTAGCGTTAATATTTTTAACTCAAATAAATAAAAACAAATTACTCTTGATTGTGAAATGCTATTGATTTTTGATTAATGTAAATCGAACGGGAATTCATATATTTTAGAGCATAGTTCAAAAAGTTATACACTAAATAAATGTAACTGAAAAAAAATCATTTTAATTAAATTAAAGTTAAGATACTAACATTTACGTGTGCATAAATCATCTAAGTCTGAAATCAGTAATGAATATCTTAACGTTGTAACTTTGGTTAATATCCTTTTTAACCGCGGCTGAATGGCTCTGACACAGAGTTTTTATGTTTTTCTTTCAAGTACAAACTTTCAGCTATAGCTCCGACATTTCTTGACCGATTTGAGATCTAATTACAGTTTTGGACTCAGAAGATCAAACCCTTTCGATTGACTATGCCTAAGGTCTCAATATTAATTTATTATAATTCTGTCTAAAAGAATTTCAATTTGAGGGTAAGCTAGTAAAGATCCTGATGAGTAATAAAATCGAATCGGGTATACACGCGCCCCACGCTTGGTATTGCTGGCGCACAAAAATATAGCTAATAAAAAGGGAAACAAAGGTTTCATAGATTATTTTACTCTAACCCTACCTAAAATAATTTCAAGTGCCGCGGCTATTGAGGATTCCCTTTTGTTTTTGTTTTTATTTCCCAGAGTCTATTGTTTAATTCTAATGTAGAAATAACTACGTTAGTTTTAAACCTCCTCAAGCTGAACTTTACGTGGTAATAAAACACGTAACACTGTTAAGTATTCGAAGTTATTAATAAAGAAAAAATCTAGTTAAAACACCGTAGACGTAGTCTAAAGTACTTTGCCGATTGAAAAAATGTTTGCATGTAAATTTGGTCAACAAAGTTTTATTTGCTTATTGAATAGACTGGCCATTTATTTTCGTGAATTACAATATCAATATGTTCTCAGAGTATATGAAAAAACGATATACTTCAGTTGAGGCGAAGGCAGAAAGAGTTGAAATTGAATTGTTAATTACCCTCTCCAGTAGACTCCATCCTGGAAGCTGTGTTGACTGTGTCTCCAAACAAACAGTACCTAGGCATCTTGAGTCCTACTACTCCTGCCACACAAGGACCTAGAGAATTGATTAACTGTTACCAACATATATTATTATCATTATTATTTAGTAGTTTTCTAGTGCTTAACTCTCAAAAACCTTTCTAAGAAAATATATAACTTCCAGACGGAGATGGCCTGACAAGGATTGGTAGTTAGGGGGCGCTCGACTCGTAATTTATGAGGCTTGAGTTCGAATTCCCGTCACTGAACATGCCCATCCTTTCAGCCGTGGGGGCGTTATAATGTGACAGCCAATCTCACTATTCGTTGATAAAAGAGTAGCCCAAGAGTTGGCGGTGAGTGATGTTGACTAGCTGCATTCCCTCTAGTCTATCACTGCTAAATTAGGGACGGTCAGCGCAGACAGCCCTCGAGTTTTGCGCGAAAGTAAAAAGAAACGTTCAATAATAAACACTTCTTGCAGAGTGATAAAAACAGTCAACTTTTTTTTTTATATCAAAGCTTACAAACATGGCTTCACTGTGTATTTTATTCTAGAACAAATATTTTACTACCACGTGCAGAATTTTAGTATTTAAGTTTGTGTAGTAGCAAGACCATTTTTTTAGTTTGTGGAAAGTAAGAATGTGTCCTACAGGTGTCGTTAATTCTCATAACTTATACCCATGTAGCATTGCAGCTTATATATATATATATAAACAATATTTATTTTATAAAAGTAGGGCGTTGGTCAAAGTAAAATAATCCTATTTCCATGTCAATGATTATTAAGAGTTAGACAGGAAGTAATACGTTTCATCATAATGAAAACAATTCATGTTGTGGTGAGTCTTTAAAGGTTGGTTTTAAAATGTGCCCAATACATTACTAGACTCGTTTTTTTCCACTGATGAGACCAAAATCACGACTGATAAAACACGTGCAGAGTATAAATCATTTCTCTACCCCCACCCCAACTCAATGGGTCAACAGTAAATCTGCGAACTTATAAGGCTAAAAAAATGGGTTTCGATACCCGTAATGGGTACTGCACAGATAATCCATTCTGTGGCTTTGTGCTTAATTACAAACAAACAAACATTTTGTTTTATAGCCTACCACTGTAGAAGAATAAACATTATCTAACTACCGGAGTGAATGCCAATAAACATCAAACTTACCGGAGTGAATGCCAATGAACATCATCTAACTTACCGGAGTGAATGTCAATGAACATCATCTAACTTACCGGAGTGAATGTCAATGAACATCATC